GAGAAAGGAAATATTTTTACAAAATAAATAATTTTGATGTTCATAGTACGAAGTGAAAATTTATAGTTATACCAAACACTTATCAAAGATGGTATATAGACCAGATATAACCCTGAATAACATTAAATAACAAAAAAGCAATACAATTAGTATCAACAGGTCAAATAAACAAGAAAGTACGAAGGACCTTTTTTTTTTTAAATTTTCATTTCTATCATTATGACTATAAGGTTTTCTTCAGATATAGTAAACATGTAAAGATAATTATAACACTATCATTGTGTATATTCTAACTAACTTGATTCGATTAAAAAGAGTCACATGTTCAACTACATTTTAAAACAGCAGATATAGAAAAGTGATATTGCACATTTATTTTAGAATATCGGACACAATCGTAACAACCAATCAGATAAATTGCTGCTCTACTTCTGACTTATTGACAATAATGATATAATAATTGTAGACTTTGTATGAGATCGATACAAGAGTATAACGACCTAAAGAAGTATATCGACCTCGGACTTCGTCCTCAGTCAGTATACTTCTTTCAGGTCGATATATCATCGTATCGACCTCATACAAAGGCTATAATAGTATAATATTGAAAGCAATGAAAGCGCTAGTAAATGTGATGCATTGAAATCGTTATTATCTTTAAAAAATAAAATCACTAATTCATAGCTCATTGTTTTCTATGATAAATACTGCAATTACAAGCATTCTAAGCTATGTTGTCTTAAGTTTAAATAAAGTGACACTCATTGCATGTCAAACTATACCTTATCCTGACTTGCGCTGAAAAATTCAACATAATTTTAATAGCATATTGGAGCGCACAGGTTCCCGGAAGTTGGGTAGTACAAAAAAGGTACTTCTGATCTGAGCAATAGGGTTAATATGACTCCTATTCAAATTTCACACATTTTTCTTATTCAAAAGAAACTTCCAGCAAATTCTACAGTGATCCCTTAAGCTTTCATTTGATACCAAAAGCACCCATATATTTTACTTATTGACAAAGTTGCAGCTATGCGTTGGAACTTTTTTGTATAAAATAAGTACTAATTTCTTCTGACCGGGCCCGAATTAGTGGTTCTATACCTTAAGGATGTACTTCGGTCAGATTTAGGAATTTTTGTCAGATGTTCGGGCTCCTTGGTTTTTTCCCTACGAAACAGGGTAAAATATTTTGCCCAATATTACGTATTTTTCTTTTCATATTAGACTTCAATAGCTCATAAAAGGTCATTAACCAAAATTTTAGCAGATTCTAGATTTCTTTCCTTTCGATTTGAGACCCAAATAATACCAATGCAAATATAAGGTAAAAGACCGAGTCAGCCTTTTCCCGCCATATTTTAAAAGTTAAATGTCTAAAAAAGAAGCTCCATAACCTATCAATATTTTAGCTGATTTTGTTCCTTAACTAATGCTCTTCTGACTTACAGTATCAATTTTAAATTCTAGATTTTTTCTAATTTCACCTAAGTACATCCTTAACTACTTTTTTTATATGTCACCATCATGTTAAAAGGTAGCCAATACATTGAATTTATTTCATCCAGTATGAAACACTTTATACCAGACTGATCATCTAGGAACAGTGTGGTGCTTTGTTTTCAACTGCACTATTTGCTTTTAGTCCGATCTGTAGCTCATTTATGTATGTTTAAATTTCCTATTTTAATTCAATATAATTGAGCATTGATGCGTCGTTGTTTGGAACTTTTGGCTTTTAGATATATTTACAACTTAGTAAATCATGCTGAAAAAATATAAATAGAACCTAAAAAGACCTTTGGATACAACAAATTGAAAAAATTAGAAAAATGCAAAGAAATTTTAAATTGAAATTTATATCCAAACAAATAAAAAAAAATATATATAAAAACTTGGTGCCGCTATGTACATGTAATTTCAGAGGGGTTTTGGATCATGGAAACTAGTATTACAGTTAAACAGTATAGATTACATATTAAAAACACGTACACATAATAAATCTATAAATTACCATGTTGATCAATTAAATGGTTTTGTGTTAAAATTATATGCAAAATATCAAAAGAACTATAAAATGTATTGATTGGCCTGTTTATACACGTAAAACTTTATAAAGAAATACAGATTTAATAAACGTGTAATGTTTGAACTGATATTTGATGAATTTTAAGTCAAAGGATATTTTAATTAACGTCTCTCCTACGAAGAGCTATTACAGAGATAGAACTGGAATAATGAGACTCAAGACAGCAATTAACTCAATATAAACTCTTTCAATAATAATCCTTTTTTTTTATTGTGGAAAAGAGACAAATGCACGGTGTCATATAATGTTAGTAAACATTTTTTGTTAGTATTGAATTTGTATGAACTATCTAAAATGAAATCAAATATTTGCAATTTTCCGTTCCCTCGTTGGAAAGCATTGAAGTTTGGGTTTGGTAATTGTGGAATGTAAACAAATTATTTCATGTATTACCAGGAAAATGTTTGTCTGTATTTGTTATTTGACATTTCCTGGTTAAATAGGAGTTTTCCCTCTCGATTTCGTAATACATCTGTGTATGTTGCACTAACAATACCAAAAAGACGACACGAAATTGCGGTCACGTTTTTTTTTTTTTTTTTTTAAATAACGGATTGTTTATTTTAAATAAGGGATAATCCGTAAACTACAAGTCTATATGAGATTTATTCCCGGTGATACTTTTCAGTCTCAGGCAGAAAAAAAGTCAGCTTTATTTCACCAACTTTCACTTTCAACAAGTTTCACGTGACTGCGTTGTCTCATTCCATTCGCGTAAATTTATTCATTTTTTTCCAAAAATATTTTTCTCTATTCTTTATTTATTTTGCCCATTATTCTCTATTCTTTATATTTCCGCATCACATTCTTCTCTGTTTGTTATTTTTTGAGACATTTATTCTGCAATTTTTGCACATTATTTTCTATTCTGCAATTCCCACCAAGACCCTCATATATTAGAGAAAGCGTAAGTTCGTTTCTAAATTTGGAGGGTTGAGGAAAATAACGTTTCGTTTGAGCTACAATGAAATATTCGGTGAATATGAGATATATATTCGTGGAGACAAACGAATAATGAAATTAATGGTGTGTAATTTTTCTGCTTGGTACTGATTCTATTTCGGGACAGAAACTTGCAGCTCCAGTCTGGGTCGGCAATTTGCATGATTTCATATGGAATGTGCTATGACGTCCCATTAACCCCAGTATTCCCCAAAAAGTCCATCAAGACTTTATAGCCACTTCGTACTTATCTGTGTCATGAATGAGTTGACATTTAAAATTCACACTAATTCCCGCACAATCGGCAATACTGGGAGGTAATTGCAGCATAGAGATGTTTCAAAAGGATCTTCGTGTTCTTCGTGAATACATTATACAACAATGTGTATGAAAATGTAAACACCAAATCACCTAGAAGCTTGCTTTATTACACAAAAAATAGCATTAAAAAGTAATAAGAATTGAATGTGTCGTTTTTGTAGTTTTTTTATTGTAGAAGTGGGGATCATGCGTACATTTTTTGTGTGAAACGCTTCCGTCAACGCTTTTCCCTCCAATAAAAAAAAAAAAAAACAGCAAAATGAAGATTTCAATTCTCAAATATATCGCCTACGCCTTCTCCTGCATTACAATAAAAATGAAAACAATACACACGAGGTAAATCACGTACCAAAAGGAATTATTATAGGAACTCGTTTAAGTACTATTAATATTCAGTACCATTCAATTTAGTCAATGTTTTAAAGTCTCATATTAGAAAGTATTGCAATAATCAACAAAAACATACAATTTTACATTGCCCTGTAGTGTTTAGCGACTGACTATAATTAGTTGTTTGCTATTTGACATGTCTACAAATATATGAGACAAAAAATACAAGTATTTCTAATTGAAACAGTGATGAATGAAGAAGTCAAGCAGTCAAGATGGATTGATTTATCTGTAGCTCTCAGTATAGGAACAAATGTATTAAATATTTCAATCATTATATTTTGCCGTTAAATGGAAAATGTCATCTAAATCAGTAAATTTTTAATAATCCCAATCAGATACGATATAATTTATAGCAATTCTGAATGATATTCTGATATTAGGTTATTTCGCTCAATATTAAATTCGTTGGTTACCTTGATGTGGATTGACCAACAGCAAATGCATGTTTAAAAGGAAGGAAGCATTCATAATAATTTTTCACTTCTCAGAAAGTTTTGGAATAAATGTTGTTTTTTAAGGGGGCCGGGGGTTGTCCGTATTATAATATTATATTGATTTTCATATCCCTGCTCAGAAACAGAAGTTTTTACTTGCAGAAAAGTTTACTTCAATTCGCCAGCTAATCTCCCAGGCAAAGTTGTCCTTAAATTATAATTCGCCAGCTAATCTCCCAGGCAAAGTTGTCCTTAAATTATAATTCGCCAGCTAATCTCCCAGGCAAAGTTGTCCTAAATTTATAATTCGCCAGCTAATCTCCCAGGCAAAGTTGTCCTTAAATTATTTTGACAATTCTTGAATGTCCCTTTTGGTCATATAGTTCTCAACATTTCTACGTGCTTTTTTTTTTTTTTTTTTTTGCATCACTGACTTTCAAATGTTTAGGTTTTAGTTTTCCCGAAAAAGCTATTCAGACGCACGACATTTATAAAGTGTTACTTAATTACATAGCAATCAATGCCCGTCATTTCATACGTCTTCTTCCGACCATGTGGTTGTAAGTCTTCAATATGTGCCCGTTTCTATACAAGTCCACTCAAACGGTGCTATTGGTTGTCTTAAATTTGCAGTAAGGAGAGTGTTTTTGCTCCGTATTGAAGGCATCATTGTGACTTTGAGATAAAGAACGGCAATAAAAGCACTGTTCCTTTGCTTTTTGTGTTTTTGCTGTGCATGTTCTGATTTTGTGTCATGAATGGATACCCCATATACTTTCTTTTCTATTGTAAATGAATTACAAGTCTTCCTTTATTTTCAGGTAATGCATCAAGAAAATGTTTACGGAATGGTGAGTGGTACGTTCATCCGATCTTTAATAAAACCTGGACAAACTTATCTGGATGCTTTGATCCAAGTATACTGAACTATAAATCGCCATCAGTGGTTCCTGCTATTGTGAAGGTAAGCATCTTACCTCTTATACATTTCTAGGAATATCATTGGTTAAAAGCGAACACGTGGACACCTTGTATGTTTAATATTGGGGTAGTGGGCGTGTTTTATTTCCTGCTATTGTGAAAGTAAATGTTGATACCGTTTTGTGTAGAATTTGAGATCATTCAATATGCCAACTCACCAAGGCAGTGTTGATCTTAGATTACTAGTATTTTGTTAAGAGAAAGAAAATGTATCAATGATGAGTTTATGTTACCAGAAGTCGTAAAGTCACTGAAAAATTTCCGGAACTCCTAATCTCCTAATCTTTACACTATAGATTGAACATAAGATGGCGTTTTCAAAACAATAAATAGTTTCGGTTTTATTTCCTTCAAATATGTACATTTAAGATAGTTTCCTTAATTTATTTTTTTTACTCCTGGTTTTCGTGTGATTTCAAAAATATTATATCTAAGTTAAAAATTACTAGTAAGGTTTTATATCGGTCATCTGCTATCTCCTTCATCTATAACAATTGCTGATATTTGATAGAATTTATTGCTGGTTTTGTTATAGATTTTCATTTTGCCCTTTTCGACCGAACGTTCATTTCAAATCCTTGTCTTTATATATCATCATTAACTAAATCGGGGTAATATCATTAAATTATAATTTATATCGGGGAAATATCAACAAATGATAAACTATATCGGAGAAATATCACTTAAATTGAATTATAAAATTTTTCTAGGGAATGTTAGCTAATTATAAACTATATCGGGGAAATAACAGCTAATAATCAACCTTATCGGTGAAATATAGGGGAAATATTGACAAATCATATACTACATCGGGGAAAATATCAGCAAATTATAAACTATCGGAAACATATCAACAAATTATAAACTATGTCGGTATAATATCAACAAATCATAATCTATATCGGGAAAATATCAACAAATTATAAACTATCGGCGAAATATCAACAAATTGTAAACTCTCAAGGAAATATCAATAAATCATAACCTATATCGGGGAAATATTAACAAACTATAAACTGTCGGGGAAATATCAACAAATTATAAACTATAATATCGATAAATCATAACTTATATCGGGGAAATATCAACAAATCAAACTATAATGGAAATATCAACAAATTTTAAACTATTGGAGAAATAAATCTACCCCAAAAAATGCTGTCATCTAGTTTCTTCTCAATATTAATACCAACGGTATGTAGTTATCTTACATTCTTAAGAGTTCTGAAATAATTGTTATAAATCTATTGCATAAGTATTTTAGTATGTTAACAATCAACATGGTAAATCTGTTTTATTAGGAGCACATGCGATACATTCAGATACTGTATGATGTTGGATACAGTATATCGTTGCTGTCATTACTTATAGCTGTCAGTATTATGCTGTATTTTAGGTATGTAGAGATTAATGGAATAATGGAATTTTGAGTCGTGGATTTTATTTTCTTGCTGTCAGTCAATGCACTATGCGTAGAAAGAACGTAATAAATGTAATGACATGCGTGTTCTAAATAAAAGAAAGAAAAATAGGGGAGGGTCGACTACTTTCAAGAAATTCCATTTTTTTTTTTTTGTTAAATCATGACAATATGCATTTATTTATTTTAAGTTAAGATATCGAATAAAATACGTCTCCATAATTGTTAATTTTTCAACATCAACAAAATCTCACAAACAGGCTTTGAAAATTTGGTTGAAATGTTTGCTTCCCGAATGTCGTATGTGAACATCTTTGTGAATGGCTGTGAAATAAAAACTTGCACATTTCTGGATAACACAAAAACTAGCCTTATTTTCGCAGAAATAAAGAAATGTACAAATTTTTTATTCCCAAAACCATTATACAACAATTTTCAAGTTTACATTCAACATTTTGGAAGCAAACTTTACTAACAATTGAGATTGGCAATGTTGTCAATGTCTTATTTCAAATGTTTTGATATGATATTTTGGAAAAGTAGTATCAGAAATTTCCTCCCGCCAAGCCGGTTTGTGTGAAAAAGTAGTTTTAGCAACAACAAAAAATAATCATATAAGACATTTTGGAAGCCCTGCGACGATATGATACATTTTATAATCCCAAATAGACATTATTATATTGCACATCCTTAATAGTAATTTGGACAAAACTTAATTTAAGTGAAAATGTTCTGAAAGAAGGATGTCGTATGTTTACTTATTATGTATGTTTATGGTACTATTAAATATTCAGATATATACTATACATATAGTAATGGCAGGATAAAGCTGTAGTATAAGGATTTAACATGAAGACTTCTGAAAATGGCATTACTGCTGCAATACAAACTGGGAAATTGACCGTGTTTCTTTTGCGTAAAATAATCGTTGTTTTCGAATTATTCTGTAATTACGGATATGTTCCACTTGTCGTAAACACTATTCAATCCTCATTTTCTTGATTTTGACATCACCGATAGCGACTTATTACCTGATTTTTATCGCTTAAGCAACACGACGGGTGCCACATGTAGAGTAGGAACTATTTACCCTTCCCACCTGACTTCATCCCCGGTTTTCGGTACGGTTCGTGTTTCTCGGTTTTCAGTGTTATTGTTGATTGTTCTTTCGTCATTTTTACCATATATTGTCTGTTTTTATTGTTGTTCGTCGCACCGTTTTAATATTTTGTGTTTTTATATTATTTCAGAAATCTTCACTGCCAGCGGAACACGATCCACATCAATATGTTTGTCTCATTCATCTTTAGGTCGATCATATGTCTTATAAAGGACAGTTATGTTATCCCTGAAATCAACAGTATATATAGTACGGATGAGAATAAAAATATCCTATCGTTTGGGCAGGTATCACAGTTATGTTTAAAAGTTATTACAAAGATGTCTTATATTGCTGGAAAAATAATGTTTTCCTACTGGCATAATTTTGACCCTCTTTTACTTTAGGGCTTCAAAACCATATAGAGCTATACTATAGAGCTACACACAAAACACAACATACTACATACAAAACACAACATTTTACACACAAAACACAACATTTTACACACAAAACACTAGAGATTGAGCATCACGAACCCTACAAAAGTGCGGGGAACGGACTCAGATATCACAGGATGATAAGAAATATTTAGTTTACTGGTCGTGTTACCTTATGCAAGTCAACAATCGGTGATATGTCGCATGGATTGGTGTCGTAATCGATGAACAAAGGACGGCATTGTGTTTACGACATATGGAATTATCATTGTCAATCGGTAACAGAGATATTCCATGACGGTCAAACAAATCATAATGGCGTCTGTAAAAGTGTCGAAAGAATAATTTCAAAAAGTAGTGAATAACAAAAATACCGAACTCCAAGGAAAATTCAAAACGGAAAGTCCCTTAACAAATGGCAAAATCATACGCTCAAACACATCAAACGAATGGAAAACAACTGTCATATTACTGACTTGGTACAGGCATTTCTTTATGTAAAAAATGGAGAATTAAAGCTGGTTTTATAGCTAGCTAAACCTCTCACTACTATGACAGTCGCACAAAATTCCATTATATTGACAACAATGTGTGAGCAAAACAAACAGACAGAAAAGGTAAAAATGTCAAAAATTGGGGTGCAGCAGCCAGTCCACATTGTATTATAATCTTAATCACTATAAAAACAAATAACTATGTTAACAAAGATATACAAAATGACATGTAGACACTTTATTGACAAAGCACATACTAGTAAGCAAAAATGAAAGACAAGAATACAAAAAAAAGACAATAGCACAATAACACAATGGCGGGATGTATCAATTGTTTTGCTGTATGCAGCAACCATCAGCAAAGCAGAGATAAAACTAAGCACTAATGTCTTTATCAGATAGTAACGATCATATCTGCAACATTGTAATAAACATATATCTTTACAGAATGATGATACAATAGTTTATTACAAAAGCATTATTCTGTAGAAATGTTAAAAAATGAAAAGTGCTTACTTTTATCTGATAAAATTTTAATCGCTTAAGTGTTTTAAAATGGAGTGCAATAGATAAAATAAATATTCATTATTTAACTACTGAATATTATTCCACAAAGTAACATTGATAATACTTCTATAAATCATCGTCATGTTTGTTTTTAGACAAAAAACATGACCTCAGATTTCAATACATGTTTAATTTTTATCACATAGATACGCATCAGATGAAATAGTAGATTTACGAGGGATTTTTAGCGTGATAGATCATTGTTCTAGTCATTAATGACATACCAACATAAGTGTTCTTATTGTAATGTGCATTGTATTTCACTGCATCATCAAATATACCCAAGGAGCACTCGACTTGTAGAATATTTAACCTTTCTCATGAATACATGATGAAACATTGATCAATAACTTTTGATAAGTTACAAAATTAAAAATACATGTGTCGTGTCAAACTGTAATTAGTTATCTACGTTTTATAAATGCATAAACTTATTACAGCTCTTCTATAAAAGCATGCAAAGCAAACCAACTTGCTTGCTATGTTTGTTTGGATGTTTGCAAACAAAAGGTAGGTAGTCTGTTTAAGTCTGTTTACTATATAATGGAATTTGATTGGACAATAAATATTAACTTCATTGCATGTCAATTTTTATTGTCCAATCAAATTCCAGTATATATAAAACAGACTGAAACTCCGCCTACCTATTGTTTGCAAACATCCAAGCAAACATAGCAAGCAAGTTGATCAAAGGTTTGCTTTGCATGCTTTCATAGAAGAGCTGTAAGTTCTTTCCAATGCTTCTGCGGCCAACAAAAAATGTGCTGTACAGTGGTTTTCGCGTAGTTTAAATTTTGCAACATCTAGAGACAAATCTTGTTCGAGAAGTTTGATGTTCGCCCTTTTCTTTCCTATGATACAATTTTAGCCAGAAGATATGGTTGCGACTTTATCTTTATCACGGAATAATCAAAATTATAAACCGATTGCGAAAGTAACAGTGTGATATTTAACTTTCACCTTATTGTAATATCTCTCTAATCAAAGAACTACAGCATATGGTAACGACCATATTACTGTGCTACTGTGTGTACCGCGTTTACACCAGAAAGTCCATTTAAAGGTAAAAAAGAGACATGCATGTCCACAGTTCTTTATTGTGCTGGTGGGTTTTATTCCAATTTATTTTGCAATCTTCAAAAATTCTGAAACACAACTATCGCTGATATGATGAAAATGAACAAAGTACATGCGTTCTTAATATGATGTTTAAAAATAGTTCAATGAAATTGTTATCCATACGTACATAAAAAAAAGTTGCATTAGTAAAATATACTACCTATAAAAGACTAAAGGACAAAGATGTGGACATTTACAGGTCATCGTACATGTACGTTCAGTATTAAAAAACAAGGCAAAAACCTTTGAGCCTCCTCGTGGGGTTTTTGATTATGTGATTACTTGGCCGTTTTTATAGTGATTATTTGATTACCAGACCAAATATTTCATGATAATTTGATTATTTGATAATCTAGGACTGTATTTTTGATTATTTGATTATCTTGTTAAAAAAGATAACTAATGATAATGTGATTATATTGGCAAAAAATTTGTGATTATGTGATTACTTGGACGCCCCCATGAGGGGCCTCACCTTTACACGAAACACGAAGATATATTCATTAACAAATAGCCAATACAATAAGTCATAAAAATGTTATCAGAAACCGTAGTAGAAATGTAAAGGAAATTATCAAATGTTTATAATTCATTAAAATGCCTTTTTTTTATTTTTCAGTCCATAGGGTGTAAAATTGTGTACACTTTCTTCTATTACATCTTATCAACTAACTTTATGTGGATATTTATCGAGGGGATCTACATGCATACATTTGTCATGTCTACAAAATACAATGTATCCTCCACTTTATACAAGACACTGCTGTTATTTGGATGGGGTATGTTCATTTATTCGCTAATTCAGTTTTAATATGAGCAACAGGACGCGTACGACACGCAGGGTAGGAACTGCTTACCCTTCCGGAGCACCTGAGATCCCCCTGATTTTGGTGGGGTTCGTGATGATCAGTCTTTGGTTTTGTATGTTGTGTTTTGTATACTGTTGTTTGTATGTTGATCTTTTTCGTTTTTGTCATGACGTTGTCGGTTTGTTTTCGACTAGAGAGTTGGAGCTTTGGTTTCTCTCGCCTCTTTTTTAATACATTGTGTAGTTGTACTGAAGACTTTAGGTTTCTCCGATAATATCTACGATTTCTGCAGTTCTGATAAGGTCATGTTTGGTTTGTATTATTTATTTCTACAAGAACAGATTTGTTGGAATGATACACAAATCAGACAAGATCATAAAGAAAGATGTTAAAACCAGGCAGCAAAAGTTGACTTATAAAGGAGTACTATTATAATGTGCCATCAAAATATGATCCGGTCTTTGATATTGATACCTAAGTAGTAATATGTCGTCATTTTAACATATAAAGCTTTGATATTAAAAAAGGGAACAGAAAGCTACAAAAGGATATTAAAAAAATAGAGAATGATGCCCCGCTTGCATATAACGTTATAAAGGGACATAACTCGAGAACGATAAAAGTGACGCAACCCAAAGTCAAACTTGATCTGTGTTTTGTGGTAATACGCATTGTGTATAAGTTTCATAACATTTGGTTGAGGCAAACTAAAGTAAGAGAACGGAAGCTAACTTTTTGACGTACGAACGAACGTACGGACGGACAAGGGTAACACTCAATGTGCCCTCCACCGGGGTGGGACATAAAACTCATACCGACAACACATGGTAAAAACATGAAAACGACTGTCAACAAAACACTTCACTGAGAAACACAAACCAATCAAGAATTGGGAGTGATCTTTTAGTGACGTGGAAGTGTAAACAGATCATGCTGCACACGTGACACACTAAATATTACACTGTTTTCCTTCCATTCTTTTAATCAAATAAAATCATACAATGATGAAGGGGTACAACTAATAACCTTAAAGTAATCAACTTTTGATTGACTAAGGATGGCAAATTCAAAACTTAAATTGACAGTTAAAACCTTGAAATTTAGATACACTTTAGTTTTGCTATAAATTCTATAACATTGCATGATGTCCAATTACGTCACAATAAAAATCGATGAAAAAGTGAGAAATACCAGTCATAACTAGTGTGACATTTCAATTTCTAAGTGTTTCATTCCAAATCCTACATTTCTGATAATATACTAAGAAAGTAAGTATATGTATTTATGATTTTGCTATTAACAGGTGCACCGTCGACTTTTGTTATCCCGTGGGTAATTATGCGGATTAAACACGAAAATACATTGTAAGTATGTATCAATTCAAATAAGCTGTTTCTTTAAAATGCATTTAAAAAGATAACTTACTCGACCCTATTAATTTTCTTTGACAAATCTGTATTGGTTTTCTGTTTTCTAAAATACTATGAATTGAACTACATCATGATACTGATTAAATGAAGCATTTTATAGCTTACTATGCGATGTGCGTTTTGCTTATTGTATAGATGTTAACTTCTATGTGATTTGGTCTCTAGTGGAGAGTTGCCTCATTGGCAATCATACCTCACATCTTCTTATTTTCATATTAGTACATTTCAAATATTACCTCATAATAGGCGATACTTTAGTAATAAATTTAGCAATGTTGTCAATTAAATTGGTTGTTTTATTTCATCGTCTAATTAAATTCCATTAGCAATAAACCAATGATATTATTTACTTCTATTATTTTAATTGTTGTTTTTGTTGAAATCCAAACTATGCAGAAATTAAAAAAATAATCAGTGTGTCAGATAAACCATAATTAGTTTTGTACTTGTTGATATTTTCAAATTACCGCTGTACCCATTGAGCAAGGCCATTTTAGTTCTCTAATGATATAGAAAATCATGAGGAATGATATCTGACAAAACAGAATTTCAAAATACAACAGATACATGTATCGAACATGATAAAGGAAGTCCATAAAAATAATATAACAGAGAAATTAATCATACAGAATTGAAGTCGTACTTCGCTAATCTTGCTTTTGTTTATCAGACAAAATTTAAAATGTTCAGCTAACTTTTATGAAATCGTGTTTTTTAATCAATAAACTCATCGTAGAAACGGTTAAAATGTTGTACGCCAGACGCGAGTTTCGTCTACTAAAGACTCACCAGTGACGCTCGAATCAAAATAGTTAAAAGGGTTAAAAACAAAGTATGAAGTTGATGAGCATTGAGGACTTAAGATTCCGAAAGGTTTTACCAAATACAGCTAAGATAATATATTCATGGGGTAGAAAATCCTAAGTATATCGAAAAATCTCATAGTTTTGTTAACAATTAATTTGTAATTGTGAACATATCGATGATATTCATGTCAAAACAGCGGAAGTGCTGACTACTGGGCGTGTGATACCGGTTTATTTTAATATCTGAATATTTTGTTTAATTATAAGATGCTGGAGCACCAATGATGTTGATAACAGCTATTACTGGATAATAAAAGGACCAATCACAGCCACAGTTGTTGTAAGTCAATATATGAAGCAATTAATTAAAATCCGATATAAAAGTTATCGATTGCCCTCCTTGGAACCCCTTTCCTGATTTTTCAAATAGTGAACTACATTTCATAAAGTGTACCGTGTAGAGGTTTAGCTAGCTATAAAACCAGGTTTAATCCAGCATTGTCTTCATAAGAAAATGCCTGTACCAAGTTAAGAATATGACATATAAAATTGAGAATGGAAATGGGGAATATGTCAAAGAGACAATAACCCGACCAAAGAGCAGATAACAGCCGAAGGCTACCAATGGGTCTTCAACGTAGCGAGAAAATCCCGCACCCGGAGGTGGTCCTCAGCTGGCCCCTAAATAGTTATGTACTGGTTCAGTGAAAATGGACGTCACACTAAACTCCAAAACATATAAAGGAACTAAAATTAAAAAAACATACATGACTAACAAAGGCCAGAGGCTCCCGACTTGGGACAGGCGCAAACATGCGGCGGGGTTAAACATGTTTTGTGAGATCTCAACCCTCCCCCTATACCTCTTGCCAATGTAGAATAAAGAAACACATAGCAATACGCACAGTAAAACTCAGTTTAAAAGAAGTCCGAGTCCGATGTCAGAATAGGTAACAAAAGAAACTAAGCAAAATGACAATGATACATAAATTAACAAAGGACTACTAGCAGTTACTGATATGCCAGCTCCAGACCTCAATTAAACTGATTGAAAGATTATGCCTTCATCATATGAAAATCAGGTACAATCCCTCCCGTTAGGGGTTTAGTATCATACCATCATAAAATATATGAGAAGAACATAACCCGTAGCATGCCAACAACTGGTTTTAGAATAAATGTGTTTATTTCCGATGCAAAGACCCTATGAGTGAATCAATATTAATACCAAGATATGCAATCCTTAATGATCTGACAACAAAACGTAACTATATCCCTTACCGAATAAGTCCGTTTAAAGGTTTGGTTAGCTTTTGAGGTGAATGCCGACATTTCTGTGCTTTGTAAAGAATATTAACATAAAATATTGGATGTGAAATACCTGAACGTATAAGATGTCTGCATGTTGATTTATATTTACGAATGATGTCCTTGTACCGTTGATAAAATTTAGTAAATGGTTTGACTAGTTTGTGATATCGAAAACCGTGGTGTAATAATTTTTCAGTAATACAGAGATTTCATTCGTTGAAATCATATACGTTGTTACATACATGAGCGAATCGAACAAGTTGAGATATATAAACACCATAAGATGGTGACAAGTTTGTTTTCCATTCGTTTGATGCGTTTGAGCTTTTGATTTTGCCATTTGATAAGGGACTTTCCGTTCAGAATTTTCCTTGGAGTTCGGTATTTTTGTTATTTTACTTTTTACACAATTTTTAGGCAATACCACCATCAGGCCAACAGTTTTCGATAGCCCTTCTTGGAATCCCCTTCCTTATTTTTTAAAACGTAAATTACATTTCTTAAAGTGTGCTGTGTTACACAAGTTTTAGCCAGTACTACAATCTTGTATAAATTATAGCAGAGTTAAAAAGTAACCATCTATATGATTTACATGAAAAAAAATTAAAAAGTTTATGTCGGGTCTATAGTGACCAAATAGTACTTTTAAAGAAGGGATACTATCGGTTAGATAACAAAGTAAGCGATTTCTTTTTACATGCAATCTTTGTCTGGCCGTATAAAGTTGACTCAGTTTAAGAACGTCAGTGTATGATACATCTATGCAATAAGAAATGTGTTACTGCTACAATGTAACTCAAAATCCTTTCCATTCGAACAACAACATGTATCTGCAAAACCTGGGATAAATCATATATGTGTATGTGTTAGGCTGCAGATGTATGAAAAGAAAGCAAACATATATGACATCTGTCTGTTTCTGAATTCGTACTATGTAGTGACTGGTGTATATACTTTAATCGGAAGTCTCATAACATTGTACATATCGTGCTCGCCTTGAATGTGGGAACGTTTAACAGACAATAGACTTCAAAACTGGTATAAGCTGCTTTCTCCGCTATGCAAAATGAATTTAGGATCCCAGTACAAGCAAAGTTAGCTCACAGTCAGAATTATGTTCCGGGTAGGTTGGTATGTCTTCCTCTGTACTGTTACCTTGTGAGGAAGCACGCTGAAAGTCCGATATAGTATGTTGTTCTACTTTTATTGAGTGCTTATATCAAATTAACATGTAATATTTGTTACTTGATGTTAAACACAAAACCACCATCACATTTATATACTTTAACTAATGACCATTTGTTAATACTGATATTGAATTAGGTTGCATAATGTAAAATTCAGATGTGATATGTGTACACACATGTGTCCTGCACCTTGTAATTCCTTCTCCTACCGTCATGTAAGTATAACTGTAATTATCATTGTATTTTTCAGATAAATTTCATATTTTTTGTCAATATCATGAGAGTTCTATATACCAAATTAACAGCGTCGCATACTAGGAATCCAAAGCGATACAGGTAATATATGTAATAACATGTTTAGAACATAGTATATATACATGTTTTTTATATACTTAGTAGTAAATACAGGTAAACTGCATGTGTAATACAATGAATGGCAATCGTGCAGTATCAACCATTCTTGATGATATCGATATCAGTCACGGTTACATAAGCTTTATCAAACCCCTAAACTCTATGACGTCACGTCATCGATATCAGACATTGTAAAGGCTTTTTCGTGTCTCAAACCCCTAATCTGAATTACATCATCTCACGTGAAAAAAAAAACATCTACTTGAAGTATATAAAAAGTGTATATGATATGGCTTTTCAATATCACACCCCGTAGCAGAGCGCTTGGGATTATATTGGTGTCTTGGGTTGATACGGATGGGATATTGAAAAACCCATATGATATACTCTTTAGAACATAGTAGATATACATGTATAAATGTGTAATATTAAAATTTTGTCTTTGGCGAGCACGATATGTCTAAGACAACAATTAATCTAATATCACATAATTATGTAGAAAAACAACAACTCAACAAACCAGCAACAAAAACAAAAATCAACGATCTTTTGATACAGTGAGTATTATTAATGTACTCCCGGATTCCGTTGTTCTTTTCAAACACATGACTAAGAAATAGAAAAACTCCAAGGTACACATTAGGGGCCCTCAATCTCTAAACAAGTACAAGTTAACCCAACGTAAAATCTAAGAGTAACATGTAGAAGATATAGCAGACATGTGATTTAGAAATTAGAGCAGAATCGATTTAATTATGCTGGTCATGTGCATACGTGCGTTACAGCATGTATTAGACGTTACATGTATATATTTTGTGCGAATGGTGAGGAAGGTTGAACACATAAACCAGCTAGTAATTTTATTTAAAGACAAAAAAACGATTAGTTACTAAAAAAATAATTTAACCTGTGTGGCAGTTATAAATATATTTACTCAAAATTATTTAAAGATTTAAATAACACTTTATTATTTACCTTTAGCATAAGAATGTTGGCATGAAACTCATTGTATTAAATTATTATAAAAATATCAATTACGTTCATCTGCTTATAAATCAATTAAAATTCAATAATTTCATCAGGGCGTTTATCCTTAACTTTAATTTAAAAAAAACACTTGTCTGTATATTTATTATTACTTTTTTGTAGAAAATTAGCGAAGTCGACCTTGATTTTAATACCACTATTTGGAGTGTATTATCTTGCCTTTATTGCTGTGCCTGTATGCATGGAACCAATCTTAGAGGTTATATGGCTGTATACAGAAATGTTCTTTAACTCCTTTCAAGTGAGTTTTCCTAACAGTGTATCTTGGCCTTAGACTGTTTTCTGCTATTTGGTCGGGTATTTGTCTCTTTGACACATTTCCCGTTTCCATTCTCTATTATATCTTGAAAAAATAGATATAAAAAACCTTTGAATAAAAATTTAATTTTAAGAGTGCAATTTGTATAGATTTTGAGATCATTGCTTCTAATGTCAAGGTCATAGTAACTAAAAGTAGACTGAAAAAGGTGGAGAAAGGGGGTTTCAGATAATAAATGAATGATCCAAGAACATTACATGCTTGATAAGACATGTATGGTCACATGTTATGAGAGGATCCCTTTTGAATCTGAGGTCAGTAGGTCAAGGTCAAAGTTACTAAAATTAAACAGTATCAGTGCAGAAAATTCCGGACTGTTACATTAAGTAATCTTTCTTGTCAATGAAATTAAACTATATATATGTTACCATTTAATAGGGATGTAGATCGCTATTGGTATGAGTTCAATATATGCACTGACGAATCCGGAGCTTGCTGACTTAGGTTTTTTTATATTTTTGTATCTGTTTTATATTTGTCTTTGCAGGGATTTGCAGTGGCAATACTGTTTTGTTTTATGAACGAAGAGGTAAGTTTGTTTCGATATTCTTACCCATACTTTTATACTGTCTTTTATTCATTTCCACATATTTTTTTTTACATTTTCTCTCATACAAAAATCATATTTCAACCATGATTCCTTCAAGTAAACAGGCTAAGTTTTGAATGGGATCTTAAACTAACTTTCATGTATAAGTTTGACGTACACATTTTTATAGCGAAATTTAAATCAGATCACTTGAGTAATGTAATTAGGAGCGATAGAAATCTGATAAAAACTAAAGTTGGTCTAAGTATTTAATAGTAATAAAAGGAGTTGCTGGATACATTTGTATACGTTGACGATACAGCAACCCACCGAATCAATTGGTCAAAATACCAATAGTTGGCAACATGCGATATTTACTAATACACTGTACACTGATGTATAGATACGACACATAAAGCTCTAAATCGTAACGAAGCTGGAAAAGTAAGGGAATAGTTTTAACAGTGGCTATTATCTACAATGACCACCAAATTCTTAAAAATGACAAACATAACAAAAAAATACCAAAAAAAATAGCAAATTTTTTTGTTTTTTCAAAACTGTTCAAAATTATCAGCACTCAAAAATACAACGTAACATTATTATATTTTATAATACCAAACAGCTTCTTAAAGTTTGTCAATCACAATTATCACTGCACAGGAATAGCCTTACATTAAAAAGCCTTAAACCTGGTCATTTTTAATGACCCTTCACATACACGGATTTTCTTTTGAGTTCTTACGGATAGAATACTCGTAGTAAATCGCAATCACCAGTAAATAACTCGCTGGTATTCGCAAATAACTCATCGCAACTCGCTTACTCTATTTAGGGACATGTCAGAAAATCTGTTTGCGATTGTCCACGGATTTGTTTTTTCCATAAATAACTTGTTACAATCCATAAGTATCGTAAACCGCTAGTAAACAACAAGTTACCATCCGTAAACTGTTCGCTAAAAACCGTATAATTACATGTAACAATTTTATTTTGCAATTTGTTTCGGTTAGTTTGTGAATTGTTTACAGATATTTTTACGAGTGCTTACATTTTGCTTATGATTTCAGTCCGGTCGTATAACGATGGCTCTATATATTGCTATTTCCAGGGCTTTACGTGTAGTACCGAGTACTTTACGAATACTTTACGAATATAAACGTATAATTTACGTATAATTACCGTTTGTTTACGATTTGGGAAAATGTATAAAAGCTGCAAAATACTAAGGACTCCTAACTTACTCGTTACTTACGTAACAACACGTACACAGGTCGTTACTAACACGTAAAAGCTTCTGAATCAATGAATAGTACCATGCCGTAATATACTCTTAACAATGTGTAAACAGCTCGTAAAATGCCCTTATGTTGCTCGTAGTTATCCGTGACAAATCGTTGCATTTTGCCCCAAAAACATCGTAATAACTTGTAATAATCCGTAAATAGCTCGTAATAACTCGTAACAACAATACTCTTAAATCGGTCGCAAAAGTGGCCAAATCGTGAGGATCCGTGAATTTGTGTCATCCGTAAGCACTCGTAAGAAAATCCGGGCATAAATGATGTGTAATTATTCTTATAGACTTTATTTAACATATTAAGAAACATATATTTAGGATATATTATGTTTGAAGGAGAGAAATGAGAAAATATAAGGATATTGTGTAAATTACGGCATGTGATGTTACTACTTATGGTCCATCTGTTCTTGTAAACTTACCCAGGCCCTACTTTCTGTTCTGTACTTCATGTATGATCCTCCGTTTTTTTATCGGACCACTCCCACTTGGGAAGAGCGTACAACATTTTACGTACATGTCACTATAAACAAAACATGACTCATCCAGCAATATACATAAACAGATGGTGGGGGTATGTCAATGAGATAGCAACCCGAATGAAAGGCCCCCTTTGACACAAGATTTGATTTCTATTTCGCAGAATTGTCTGGTAGAACTTAATTTATAAATCAATTGTTTTACAGGTAAGAAGAGAGATCAGAAAGGTAAAAAGAGATCATAAGCTACGACGAAATAGTCATATATCTAACCGATCTACGAGTAGAACAGTTGAACAGTTTTTTCCAAGTGAACATGATAATAGTATGCTTTGCGCAGAATCTAAACCTGCTAATGTGCGTTTTGAACTTGATGAAAAGTCAAGAATTATTCTTGAAAAAACGAAACATTTGTTCAATGATGGAAGTGATCCCAATTTGAATACGACTGTGAATGGAATATATTTGAATGGAGAGAATTCAAACCTTGTCTCGCTAACTGATAGAACAATTGAGTCATGAACTTATACAATGAACAGTAGTTTATCGGATGACATCAAAAACTCCTGCAATATCAAATTTCACAATGTAACTTATACTAACACGGAGAAAGTATATCCTAAGCATTAAGGTTTAACATTTTGAACACAATTTTAAGTTGTAAAATACAGTGTCAGAAAATATAATCTTTTTATTTGTCTGGTCCAAAGGGCGAGTGTGATCTACTTGCAATTACTTGGCGCCCGTCGGACCAATATTAACTTACGTTTACAGTCGTAAGACGACTCCTTATAGGAGTTATATCTCTTAAATGAAGATATGTTCCCATTTTTCACTTTTATGCTAGTATATTCTTGAAGATTGTAATAGATAGAGGGAAATAATAACAGCAAACATGATTAAGAAGACTAGAATTTAAAATTAGTCAAAATTGGTATAAATCGTCAGTTAACTCCTCGAGGAATTTATTACCCTTTAATAACAATTGTTACCCACTTTTGCGTTTTAGGCGGATCTAAACTTTACTGAGAAAATGAGGTACACTGTAAACAGTCAAAAAATATCTTCAAAAAAGTAAACAAACTGAAAGCGTTAGTCATCTCCTTGTAGGAGTTATAACATTTTAATGACCATTTAACCCTTTTTGGCGTAAACTGTAGTAGTTGAAGAGAAATTGCTATAAGTAAAATAAGAGGTACAAATAAGTCAACTCACTGAAATCGTCAGTCATCTCCTTGATATATGTGTTTCACCTCTTCAACATGTTCAAAGTCGATTTTGCCCCATTTTGTATGTTAATTTATTCTATCTTGAAAACTAAACTAGATAGAGAAAAATGTAACCTGCTAAAATCACCAATAAAGAAACGAAATCGTTAGTGCTATAGTTGTTGTCCATATATATCATAATTGCCCAATTAAAAGAGTCATTCAAAGTCGTAAGTCGAACACACAAAAAAAACTAATAACGATCAAATTACAAACAACAGTATACAAAACACAACACAGAAAACCAAAGACTGAGGAAAACGAACCCCACCAAAACCTATTTTCAGTACTTAGAAAACTGTAAACAAACATATCATTGTGTCAAACAAAAACGACCATCTTTTGTTCAGCACAGTCTCTCTCCATAGAATTACATAGTATTGTAGTGTATCAATGCCAAAAACAAATGCCAGGTCAGAGATGTAGGCTCCCTTGGACCTCTAATTTTACAAATTTCGTAAAAAGCCATTCGCAATATCACTGTGTAGCATCACGACTAGATATAATTATTCCCGAAGCAAAGAAGCAAAGGCAGCAAAAAGTATGTATTTTATTGCCCGTACAGAATATAACTATTCGCAGTACAAGTTATCCGCTTTATTTACATGGATTTCTTTGTAAAAAACAATTGACAATACAGTGTTGTTCAAGCTTAAATATGATATAACTTTGTTCTTCGAAAACGTCAAATGAAAAGTTAAAGGATAATGTGTTTTAACAAGTTTAAACTCGTTACGTGCTTCTTTGAGCAGGTACCACCTGGTCCGATTCTGACGATTTAAAGAGAGAGAAAGGATCAAAATCAGCTTTGAATAGTAACTAGGAATCAAAATCACGAAACTTTACTTGTCAACAAAACGTAGAATATAATAAAAATAAGAAGATTTGACCTTCCCTGACTCTGGGACATAATATATTGTATAAGTATAATACTAGTAGTTCTAGCCTGACTTTCGCATTTGTTTTTGCCACCGCCTCGGGGCTACCTATATCCTACCTATATCCTACCTATATAAAAGGATCCATAGGTTATATTTTGTTTTATTATATACTTAGTAGTAAATACAGATAAATTGTATGTGTAAAACAATCATTGGCAAGCGTGCTGTATCGGCCACCCGTGATGATATCGATATCAGCACGGTTGCAAAGGCTTTATCACACCTTTAATCTGTATGACGTCACGTCATCGATTGCAGTCACTGTTGCAATCTTTATCAAACTCCTAATCTGTATGACGTCATGTCAAACCTATAATCTGTATGACGTCATTTCAAACTTCCTTATCTGTATGACGTCATGTCACATAAAAAACATCTACGTGAGGTATATGTATATAATAAAGTGTATATGATATGGCTTTTTCAATATCACATACCGTATCAACCCTCAACCAATATAATCCCTCGAGCAGAGCTCTTGGGATTATATTGGTGTCTCGGGTTGATACGGATTTGATATTGAAAAAGTCATATGATATTATCTATTTACAGTTTAATGCCGTCCATATAAAAGGAATTTACAACTTTTGAAAACAATTTTAGTAAACGCTTTCACAATACGAATACGCATCACATACGGGAATGATATATGGTGACCTGGAAGGAAAATCATATACCGCCTTGCAGGAATATGACATTTGTTTTCCATTTGTTCCGGTTGATAAAGTCTTGTGTTCGATTTTGTCATATTTTATGGACTTCCTCCTTTTGAATTTACCTTGTAGTTCGGTATTTTTTTTAATACTTTTTTGCATGATCCGTGTATGAAATACGAACATTGTATAAGAATGATGATACATTTTATTGATAAAGTAAACCGTATGCAGCCAAGACATAAACAGTTTGAATGCAACAAAACTGTATTTTTTTATTAAAAATATAAACCGATCTGATATACACATAGCCTATAGTTTACAAGACCATAGATAATATACTGATCGGTATGTATTAGATACAATACAAAGGTAACAAAGAAACAGGCCGGTAACAACCGTTGCCGGATAGTTTTTCTGCACGAGTAGTCAGGTCAAGGTCCGAGGCGATAGCCGAGGACCTTGACCTGACTACAAGTGCAGAAAAACTATACGGCAGGTTGTTTCCGGCCTGTTTTTTTGTTACTTTTGTTTTGTATCTGACTTGTACGACGTTTCAAGAAAGTAATAATACATTTTGCAAGACTAAATATTTGAGAAACTTAGATAGCCATAAAGCAGTAAATGTAAGTTATAGTATAAACACACTTTTTTTTCATTTCCCATCAACCGAAAGTTTTTTTCAAGAAAAAAATCAAGAATCTAATAATTTGATAAAAAAGAACCATATCAAGTAAAAGATGAATGTTGTACACATTTAAGACTTTTTAAAATGCAACTTCGTAAAAAAGTAATATATTAAAGAAATATTTTAGTGGTAAGTAAGCTAACGTTTGATTTTTATGGATGAAACGGAAAGCGGGGAGGGGGCCTAATTTAATTTAAAATAAACATGCTGTGATCTTTATTTTGATGAAAAAATGCAGAATGTGCCATTCCATCCCCCCATTCCCCCTTTAAAAAAATCGTAAAAATCGCACGTTTGTTGCCAAAAACATGAATTCAATATTCAGTGGTGGGGGTCCCGGGGGTTGTAACACCCCTTTTTTGAACGATCAATACATTTAAATGGGGACATATAGTTGGACCCCCCCCCCTTTTTTTGTCCTGGATTGGGAACCCCCTTTTTTAAAATGGCTGGATCCGCAACTGATATATATGTATATATAAATTCAATAACAATATAAATGTATCAAAAGAATGAATTTCCTACTTCATTAGTGAATGAAATGTTATGAAAAAATGGATTTTGTCTTAATATTATAAATATTCAGGCATATACTTTGATTTTTTTTTTAAATTCATGCTCGTCTCTAGATCTGCAAGTGTTGATCGGGATTAAACACGTGTTACTATATGGTCCAATCGCAGATTACCGTCCAAAATTGATGACATAAGTTGAATGATTTTCTTCTAGATTTGCTGCTTATTTGGACGTGTATTACACGAACACTTTTTTTTTATAGGATCAATCGTGCATTGGTGAGTTGATAGGGATTTTATCTTTTGATAAGATTTGATTTTTTTATTTACTTATTTCCTGTCTTTTTTTTTATTGAAATATGAACGTCGGTATCATCATTTCTTTACTTTCAGCATTGTCCAAAATACTATTCATGTCTATATATCGAAGAAAACATTTATTAACCGATTATTTTGCTTCATAAATGGGGCGGTATGTTCTTTTCTGAGTATATTAACTATTTACTTTTCAACGCCATCACCCAAATATTTTTGTTTAAATTAGCACTATACGGTATTCGGAAAATCAGGAATCATGCAGAACATTAATTTGTCATCTGCTTGACCATAGTAAATTTTTTCTCATAAAATTTGGGATCAAAATATCTTTTTTTAGGAGAAAACCATACCCCCCCCCCCCCTTTTTGAAGTTAAATGTCTAATCCCTTAGTGTACTGATATGAATAGTATTTTACTGAAAATGTTTGAAAAAAGATATTGATGCTAACGTAAATATTTTGTTTAATAAAAAGACAGGAAATATGTCGGTGAACCAAAAAGTTCAAATCTAATTGAAAGTTAAAGTGCCCATGAACTCACTGATCACGCACGAGTGTATCTATTCATAAAAAGTGTCCGTGTAACAACTAAAAAGAGTCCGTGTATCATCTAAAAAGAGTCCGTGTAACACCCGTTAATGTACTGTTTTTCTATAGCTCTGCGGGGGGCAAAGTCGTACAAGTTCTTATACAACGTGAATACGGTTTGACTTCTGATATCATCACATTCACGCTCGACTGAGGACAAACAGTTCAGGCGCGTAGCTAAGATGGAAAGTTAGTTATCACAAAAAGATTGTTGAAATTTGCGAAATAGCAATAATAGGCGTTCTGATTATTCTTGCAAACTGGCATCATATGTATACGTTACTAGAAATAAGAAGATGTGGTATGAAAGCGAATGAGACAACTCTCCATCCAAGTCACAATGTGTAAAAAGTAAACAATTATAGGTCAAAGTACGGCCTTCAACACGGAGCCTTGGCTCACACCGAACTGACTAGTGTAAAACAATTCAAACAGGAAAACCAACGGTCTAATTTATATAAAAAACGAGAAACGAGAAACACTTTAGAACCACATCAACAAACGACAACCACTGAACAACAGGCTCCTGACTTAGGACAGGTGCAAACAAATGCAGCAGGTTTCAACGTTTTAACAGGCGCCAACCTTCACCCTAATCTGAAATAGTAGTGTAACATTACAACATTGAAAAGACACACTATAAAATATAAATTGAAATGGCTTTACTCAATAAAAAATACATATTAACAAAAACAAGTAAACATACACTGAACGAA